GGTAGACACGCTGAGCTTGCTCCTTGAGCTCTCGAACCACCAGTAAACGTTTTTTATGGTGACTGAAAGTGCTTGTCTGAGAGTCTAGAAATGCCATATAGTTTTTCTGGGCTGGGGGCATGGAGACAGAAAATAATTTCAGCATGATGTTTAAGCACAGAGAGAAAACTAGAGGGCAAAGGTGAGAGCTGGAATTTATCAAAAAGAAATAGGTTACTAGGTTTTCCAAGGAAGATTTTTTTCCAAATGAGAATTAACCTACACCGTTTTAGGAGAATGAACTAAACTGAGATTCCAGATCTTAGGACTCATCGACATCATCCTAGAGTACTCTGACCACTAAACATACAAAATCACCTGAACAGACCTGATACCTAACCCAAACAGGACTGGCAAACAAAAGGAGAGCACAGGCCGCCGTTAACACCAACAGGAGGAAAGTCACTGACATGCTTCCCAAACACAGGCGTGTGGCCTATGCAGATGAACAGTCAGCGTTTTCCTACGTCCCCAACGGTGGAGAAAGTTGAAGTAAGAGCTGGCTAATGGAAGCTGTGGGGCCAGGAAGGATGCTTTCAGTACCCAGACCCGGGTACCCAAAGTGAATGGTACAGGAAGAACCCTCCTCGTTTTAATTAGAATGGGAGAAGGGAGCAGGCAGAGTAGGAATGTGAGCACATGTCAATGTCAGTAAGACTAGACCTTACTTACACCTAGACTGCCCTAAAAATGGCAGCGTGGAAGCCAACCCCCCACTCCCAAAGATTTCCACAAGTCCTTCTTTTCAGCTGAGCTTGGGAGGGTCGCGGTGACCACCAGAGTACTCTAAACCTGGAAACACATATCTACGCTAGGAACCAGCAACCTCATTTGCGAAGGTTCTTATTTTCATTTTGAAAAAAATTCAAACCTACAGAAAAGTTGCAATAGCTCAATATACATACATAAATCCTACACAGAACCTCAATTTACCAATTCTTAACATTTTGCCATATTTTGGGCTTCCAGTTTCTATACACTCTCTCTCACCATTATTTTTTGTAGAAACTTTTGAGAATAAGTTGCAGATATGACCCCTTCTTATTATTTCAGCAGCTCTTTCTTAAGGATAAAGACATTATCTAATATTACCTAATATAAACACAATATGATTAAATGTGGAAATTGTGTACTGATACAATACTATTCCTTTCAAGTTAACCAACTATTCCCAAATGCAAAGGTTCTCATTCCTATCTTAGCACAGACTTTTAACCTTCAAGTATTTCATGTACTACCATCTAAATGGTTAGCCTGTGAAAAGCCCTGGTCAGAATTAAGTGCTACACCAGTGAAGAATTCTGACGGACTCCATTTAACACATGAGCCAAGGATGTAATAACACCAGGAATCCTTTCCCACCTCACCCCTCTACTTCCAAATGAGAAATTCTATTTAAATGGAACCCTCACCTTCTAAAATGGAAGGCTTTACGTTGGTTTCTATAATATCCAGCCTGTTATATTTGTAAACCTAAGAGGAAACAGACAGTAATTTTAGGCAGGAAACATTCAAGTTGCCAGAGTTCAGACACTTAGAAAGAAGTGGATCACTTCACAGGTGACCGGGTGTTTTTCAGAGGAGCGGGCCTCCTATAAGACAACCATTGGAAATGCAACTCATTTCGGTAGAATACAGCAATATTTCACTTAGAGGAACAACTAATTCCCAACATCAAGAATACATTTTTAAATGGTTTAAAAATCATTGCTTGTCCTTAGAGTGGGAACTGAACTACCACTTCACTTCACGAGCTCAGAGGGAAGGCACTCCAGCTGACCGTCCCCCCTACACTCCTGCTCTGCTCTGCTCGGCACCTAATGCTGGGAGGGTTGTAAACATTCCCCTACCAGTCTCAGAGCATCTTCCCAGGCGGCTCCTTCTAACAGCAAGAGCACAGCTTCTTCATAATCCTGACAAAGGAACATCAAGGCAAACAGCAGGTTAAGGGAGCAAGCATGTCAGAAGCCTCTCTGCCTTCCCAGCTATCCTGGTCCCAGTTCTATCCCTTGCCTGGCCTACAGCACATGCTCAATACATACTAATCCGCAACACAAAGGAGGGCACGCGTTCTGCAAAGAGCACAAGGTAAGGATCATCTCCCTGTTTCCCTAAGCATCAAAACCACCAAACAGATCTGCTAAAAAGGCCCATTTCGCCCTGGCCAGGGGCTCAGTTGGTTGGAGCGTCAGCCTGTGTACTAAAACGGTTTTGGATTCAATTTTGGGTCAGGACATATACCTAGGTTGCAGGTTTGATCCATCATCAGGGTGCATAAAATAAGTTACTTTTAATTAAAAAGATAAAATAAAAATTTTCTTCCCAGACAGACCCCAATGGATCGTCTGGCACATGGCATACTAACAGGGCCACACCACAGGTTCACAAAGGGACATAGTACGATGTGTTTTGTTTGACCTGTGTGTGTGTTGTATTGAGATAAAAATATGCTGAGGTAAAAGAGATATTTCCCATAAAGAGAATGAGTGTAAAAGCCAAAAAGGTATTTAAAGTCAATCACCTTATTTGAGAATGGTTCCTTCTCACTCTTTCTATTTTGCCAAATTAACATAAAAAGTATGACTCCCTTGAAATTTAGTACTTTCTATCAAGGTCAACCACTAGAACATATTATAGTAGAGCTCGTTAGTGTTCTACCTCCCAGCACTTATATGGGGATCTATTGAATTTAGATTTCCAAGTCAAGTCAGCAAGATGGAAGACATTAGGGCAAAGTATCTCTGAAAGTCCTAATTATCCACAGTTGTTCTTTTTTTATCACATTAAAAAAATTTACTGACTGGTTTTAGAGAGAGAGGAGGAAGGAGAAAGAGAGAGAAAGAGAGAGAGAGAGAGAGAGAGAGAGAGAGAGAGAGAACATCAATTTGTTGTTCCACTTATTTATGTATTCACTGGTTGATTCTTGTATATGCTCTGGCTGGGGATTAAACCTGAAACCTTGGCATATCGGGGCGATGCGCTAACCAATTGGGCTACCTGGCCAGGGCCTACCCACAGTTTTTTAAATTTTCATGATCTATAAGGTACAACTAGAAAGTCCTTGCTTGATAATGGGGCAGTTTTAGAAAGGAGAAACTGGGCTTACCTGGGCGTACTGTTCCAAAACTGTGGCCGCCTCACTGTGCTTACTCTGCTCAACTAGCTTTCCTGCAAAGGTAACAAGAAGCATTTGACCATAGCTGGATTGCTAAGAACAACAGTTCCACCAAAACCCAAGTTGAAATGGTTTGGGGTAGCACTCTTTAAATAAAAATGGTCTCATACAAATTAGAGATTGAGCTCTACAGAGTACAAGTATACATTCAAAGCTGACTGCTTTAAAACAGCATTTCATAAGTGCTAAGACTGTTGCAGACGTTAATGAAAGAGGTACCAAAAATTCATTTGCAGATCAAATAAATTCAGAAAGCTTTCGGTAAAACACAGTGAAACAGATTTTTCTGCTGCAGTGTTTCATTACTATGTCTTCATTATGTATCAAACTATGTACTTTGTGAATTTCTTTGAGGTGAAGAGGCAGGAATACCATGGAGTTTACCTTGAATGGAATTTACAATCTAAATTTAGCATGAGATGTGAAAATCATGTATAATCAAAATTAGCCATGAAAAATGCATGGATAAGGGAAACTGACCTAATAACTGACTAATCCATTTTGTTCTGTATTGTGAGAAACTGCTATTTGCTTGGTTGAGCACTAGGTGGAGCTAGTTGGCTTATATTTGGGGTCATGCAGTGTTAGATCCTAGAATCATAGCCCAGTTGAGATCATCACACAAGGGAACATAGGACCCGAGGCTGACTAGGGGCTGGCAGGTTCATGCCTCCCTCCCGTGTCAGGCTAACCCCAGGCCACATTATCACTGACAAAAACAGAGTCACCTATCTTTTCTTTCTTTTGCTGGCTCATGTAAATTAATCAGGTTCATGTGAACATGAAACGACTCTACCATATAACATTTCTCAAATATCACCATATTAATATTTCTCAAATATTTCTGGCCACTGCCTTCCCCACCATTTTCTGCTAAACATCTGGAGGACTAGGTGTTTTCCACCATAAGGCAAATGCAAACTAAGAGTTGAAAAGAATAAAAAAAATGATCACAGATCATAGATCATAGAGCTAGAAGGTATACGAGTAAACTACCAATAACACCAGTTTCTAAAGCAGAAGTAACAATGGCGCCAGAATGAATAACTAAAAGGGCTAAAATAAAAAGTTCTCACACTTGTAAAAAGAGTTCAGCTTGGAAATTGAGAGGGCTTAACGAAGAGCATACATACAGGAGAACTAAGATGCAATGGCATAATAAAGCAGTTTATCTGATAACCAGAAAATGCCACAAAAAGAAAAGTGATAATCTTACACATTTTTATAATCCCAAGGAAAAGAATAATTCAAATGAGAATATGTATGTACATTAATTTGGTTTTTCAGGAATGCTTGCTTTTCCCCTTAGAGATAATAATAATAATTAATAAAGAAGTAATATGTACAAGTCTCCTGAAAGGGTAAGGGGATAACATACTAATCAATCTCTTACTTTAAGCACAGGCCAAGCCCTCTCCTCACCTTCTCACAGGCAGACCTTAAGCTTTCTTCCGCTCTAAGAAGTCAGACTTGGTATAGCCTCGCCTCTGGTCCGATCAGTCCTTAGACCCTGAAACACCTAAACTGCCTTCGTTTCTAATCTGCAAATGCTTATGCATTTGGCCTCTTCTTTTACCTCATTTCTGAAAACTGCTATTATGGTTTCCAACAATCTACTGTCTATACCGAATAGCCTCACCTCAAAAATCATCTTTAGCTTTATATAGAGCACATGGCCATCCAGTTACACTCCACTAAGTGTGGCCACATAATGTTAGTGTTGGTGAACAAGATGGAGAAGTGATAGTGTAACTTGTAGGTCATTTCCAACTTAAAGGTAAGTGTGCACCCCAAGAATGGAGTGGAGATGAGATCAACCCAGCTACAGCTCTCTGCCCAGGAGATGGCAGAGCCACACAAGGGAAGGACTCGTCAGATGAGAGATAAACTGCTTTATTACACCTTTGCATCTTAGGACTCCCGTTGTAGCAGTTTAACCTTTACTCTACTTAGTAAAGCATTCCAAATTATTTTTTATTGAGTATGAGACTACCTTAAAGTATGCCCTAAATTTCTTTGCAAAATTGCCAAATAAAACAAACAAAAAAAGAAACAAAAACCTCTGGAGAAGTTCTCATTTGGGGGAACCTACATGCGTGTTTACCTGCCAGAGCTCTGCTGAGGCCAGCCAGCTGCTCTTTGCTCAGCTGCAGCTGGGCCGCCACACAGAGAGCCTGCTGCCAGCTGCCAGCAGCCACAAAGGCATCAAGAGCTTTTTGGTGGGCACCACAGCGGGCAAACACCAGCCCCCCTGGCTCATAGAGGTGCTCCTGCGTCAGGTGTTCCCCGTAAGCAATGCTGATATCCTGTGGCAAGAGATGTAGGGTTGGTGAGGAAAGGTGACAGTCAATGTTTAAGTCTTCATTATATGCTGCCTTAGTTGCTATGCTTGAAACTCTTGAATTTAGGAAAGTCCTACGGTTGATCAGTGAATTCAATCATTCTTCCATTCAAAACCTTACTGATGATGTGCCATTTATTCACTTAACAAATAATTACTGGGTACTATTCAGGACAGTGACAATGATACTGCAGTGCAAAAATAAAACCAAACCAGCAAAAAAACAAACAGGAACAAGAACCACCACCAAGTTGCTGCTCTAGGAATAGAGGAAGGACTTGCAGCGGTAAAGGCCCAGGGCGCAGTGACCATAAGCCACATGAAGAGTGAGGGAGAGTTCCAGGCCGAGAGCATGGAAGGCACCATGGCCACCGGGCAGGAACATGTCTGGAACACACAGGAGGAATGAACAGGAAGGCTGGTCGACAAGCAGAGAGAGCACGGGCTTCCTGGCAGAGGAGACCCGAACGTTTTGAAGAACAAGTGGGGCTAAAGGAAGGGCAAGGCAGAGGTTGGCACATGCAGTGGGCGCTGAAGAGGTGGTCAGGAACCCGATCATAGAAAGATGTGAGCAATCTGCAGATGAACTGGAAATGATGGCGATGGATGATGGCACAGTGAGCAGTGGTTAACAGCATGGGATCCGTAGCCTAGGTCAGCCGCTTCACAGCCCCAGGTCCTTAGGCAAGTTGTTTCCTCATCTATAAACTGTGCACACCACTATCACGTTTTCATGGGACGTATATATGTAGCTCATCAATGAGAAAGATCTGCACTTTGCAGGATAATCAGTCATGGGGCAGAGAGGCCAGGCTGCAGAGGGCGGTGGAAGCTGTGTGGGTATTCCCCACAAGGAATCTGGGACAATGCCTAGGTTTCTGGCCTAAGCAGTTCTTCGGAGTAGGAACAGGTCAGAACCACTGTCTCAGATAAGAAGTTCAAGGTGAGGCTAATTTGTCTGAAGATGAACCTTGAAACCAAGGAGTGTTATGGACTCAGGACCCTCACCCTTTCCAACTAAGGCACAAAGCAAAACCAGGAGCGCCACATTTCATACACCACGCACCTTGTGCTGCTGCGAGTCTGGTGGATATAACTTCAGGGCCTCATTATACAGGTTCTTATCCTTTATTAAGTTTAAGCATTCTGGGAAGTGCTCGGGTCCTGCAGGAATAAGATTCATACACACACAAGCTTAAGACTTGGAAGGAGAAAGGATTCATTTTTACCAACGATCTCTCAACAAAACCAACAGGGGCGATTCCAAGACCTGCACGATCAGAAAATCTGGAGAAGAGAATCCAGTAATCTGAATTTTAAGATTCTGAGGTATTAGAAGCAATGCCTGGGGTCAGAGTTCTACTTTACAAAATTTTTCACACTACCCCTGATCAATGACCATCCAGCCCAACTGGGTCAACCTCCTTAATAAGAATCTCCTGGGATGTGTATTAAACATACACACATCCGAGTACTGCCCAGCCCAACTGAATCAGTTCTCCACGGAAGCCATCAGCCGAATGCTTAACAAGCGCCCTAGTGACTCTTCCCTGCCCCCTCCCAGCCCTCAGGAAGGTATCACAACTGCTGAAGCCAGAGGCTACAGCCCAGGCCAGGGCTGGGTGGGAGGAGGGGGTTGGGAGCAGAGCACCCACCACCGTGCTTGGCCCAGCCCATCACTGATGAGTAAGACTGGCTTCCAGGGCACCGCAGTGGGCACCTCGCTCTAGACAAGCCAGGCTTTCTTCAGGTGTTTGCAAACACCATGAGAACAGCAAATTAGCTACTAATTTTGATTCTGAGACACTGAAGTGAATTTAGGAGGTAATCACTCTTAACCCAAAAAGGACCTCTATTTCCCTAGCTGCAGAGCCCCTCAGCTCTTTTTTTTTAAAAATATATTTTATTGATTTTTTTACAGAGAGGAAGGGAGAGAGATAGAGAGTTAGAAACATCGATGAGAGAGAAACATCGATCAGCTGCCTCCTGCACACCTCCTACTGGGGATGTGCCCGCAACCGAGGTACATGCCCTTGACCGGAATCGAACCTGGGACCTTTCAGTCCGCAGGTCGATGCTCTTTCCACTGAGCCAAACCGGTTTCAGCGCCCCTCAGCTCTTTAAAAGACACTTGCTTTATCCTCAGTTCTCAGAACATATAAAATCAGGTGTACTTATGTAATTGTTAAAGGTTTCAGGAGTGGAAATTGAAAGCAGTGTGTGTTTAAACTAACATTTTATTTTAATTTTTACCCTGCCTACTTCCAAAGAAAATCTGAAGTGGAAATGAGCATAATAATCCTCATACTCACCACATTTGCTGAGGTGGCCAATGGCTTTTTCATACCGTTTCAGGTATTTGTCTATAGTGAACCGCTGATAATTAGTTTCCATTTTCTTAAGTGTATTAAGAAATGGGAGATATTCTTTTGGATCCTAAAATAAATTATAAATAGAACTTCATTGCTTATGATCATATTTACTTATAAAAATAAACATAATTATAGCAGTAAATCCAAAGCTACATAATTTTAAGAATAGGTATCATATTAATATATTGATTACTTTTTATGTAATACTAGGGTCCCGGTGCACGGATTTGTGCACATTGAAAGGAAATTAATTAGAAGAAATATTTTAATATTGCTATTTGCCCTTTCTCTGTAATAGAAGTGTCAACCAAATTAATGATTGATAATGACAGATCAAGACACACGCATGTGATTGGTGCCAGTGAGAGCTTTGTATGTATTGTGTGTACACGAGTCAACTGAGACTTTTATAGATATAGAATAAACTTGCTTAATTAGACCTGCTTTCTGATTTAGCTAAACTTTTTCCAGTGTTCATGCATGTGATGTAGGAGATAACTACAGGCCAAAACATTCAGTCATGTTCAAGGGATGCAACATAACCCCGAACTTCAGGAAAGGTAGTCTAGAAGAGGGCAGACTGGGCTGCAGGGGTAGACTCGGTGCAGTGGATTACATGGGGCCAGCTCCTCCAATCCCTGGGTGGTGGGCAGGGAGGCAAAAATGGCTTACTGGGATCCCTGGTTGAAGTGGCTCAGTTGGTTGGGGCGTCATCCCGATTGTGGGTTCGATCCCATCAGGGCACCAAAAAGGAAAAAGAACGGTATACTGGGCAGATGCCACCTTGGCATCCTTTGACCAAGATTAGTGAGAATTAGCCAGGTGAATGGGGAGAGTGAGGGGGGAGGCAGAAGTCATGTTATCCACAAAGGTGTGTGGTGGCTAAGGCAACAAAAGCACTGCCTTTCCTCCATGGCAGAGAAAAGGGGACAACGTGAAGAGAGGAGGACAGAGATACACAGGGAACAGATCACAGAGGATGTTTAAGTAATTGAATTTCATGCTGGGGCCATGGGGACTATAAAGTATTTAAAACAGAGGAATAAAGGATCAAGTTTTCCTTTTTGGAAAGGTCACTCTGACAAGAGCAAAGAAAGGAATGGTAGGGGATGAAACCAAGGCTGTACAATAGATAAAAAAGGTGCAGGCCAGGGGTGCTCAAACATTTTGACTGTCGCATGCTAAGGGGGACAGAGGCACCAAACCTTTCTATTTTCCATGTTCCTACTTTCCACTAGAAAAATGAGCTACAAAATAGAGACCTGAATTGGAATAGGATTCGTTTGTTCCATTTCCTTGATAAGAGGAGAATTTGTTCACACAGATGCCTATAATCTTAAAAATAACCACATAATTTTGTTTCACTTGCTCAACTTAGCAATCAAAACACTTTGATAAGCATAGAACTATGATAGAGAATGGCACTTAGAAGCGTGGGCCCGGAGACTCTCAGATCTGCCTCCAGCCCTGTGCTCCCAGGACAATATTAGGCAGAACACTGTTCCATTAAGGAGAGGGATTCATGCTGCCATGATTACATAAACGAGAACCAAAAAGATGGCAAAGTAGCAACTCCACGTACCTTCTGTGACTTCTCAGCTACCATGAGGACCAAATCAAAGTCATAGGTCCCAAGGGAATGATCATATAATTCATTCACATCTACCAGCAGCAGCAAATACTTCAGGGCCTCTTCAGCACTCACACCATCAGGAACAGGGGTAGTGCTTCCTGTCAGCGTCAGAAAACAAAACAGAACAAAACCATCTGGGCAAAAACACACACACCTGGCATCATAACCAGAAGACAAAGAAACACATTTTCCAATAGACAGATATCTCTGATCCTTTTGTACATGCAGCACTGAAAAGAATGACACATATCTTAACATGGCCCCTCAAAGGCCACACGTTAAATCCGGGCTGTGACCCTGGTCCTGGTCAGCGTGCTCTCCCGAGCTGGGAAGGCTGAGACAAGCAGGCCCCGAAAACACTCTTCTTGTGAACGGGTCTCTACCTTGAAGCTCGTGTACCTTCTGCAGCACAACTTCCAGTTCTGGGGTTGTTTTCTTCACATGAGAGGTGAGGATGGACAGGCAGTACCTGAGGTCAGATGTGAAGAGCAACACAGGATGAGAAGGATGAATAGAGTAAGGACAGCTATGTGCTTGTGTCATTCACAAGATGCCCCTAATGCGGCACACGTACTTGTCAGGGTCTATGCTCTCCATGGCAGCTCGCATGGCATCGCAGATAAGGTCTACTTTACTCCCCTCGAGACCCCTGGACTGTGGGACAGTGTCGGGAACTGGTGGAGGGTACATGGTAGTTGTGACATCTTCTTCCCTAAGAACAAGTGTGTATTAAAAGGTCATTAACTGAACCTGTGTCCCCTCTCAAACCATTCCCATAAACCCAGGTGTGCTGATGAGACAATAAATAAAAATAGCTAGCTATTAAAAAAAAAAGCTATTGGAAAACAGTTTAATTATAAAAATACTCATATAAGATAAAAAATGGACAAATTTATTGAGAAATGAAAACATGTCTACAAAAGACCTGAGAGCCCAAATGAGGCACAGACCAGATGTCCATCACTGGGGAATGATGAACAAACTAGTATATTTATACAGTGGCATTCTATTGAGTGATAAATAAGATGGATCTTGAATACATGCAAAACGGATGAATCTCAAGATAATATACACTATGGGAAAGAAGCTTTATTTACACAGAAAAATAAATATTCTGAGTCCATTAAGTTCCTGAACATGTGAAACTGATCCATGGTGTAAAACTCAAAACAGTGGCTGCCTAGGGGTCAGGGACTGACTGAGAAGGGACTGGGGGGAACCTGGTGGAGGTTCAGGTTACATGGAAGCATACATTTGTCAAAACTCACTGAAGGGTACACTGATCGTTGCATTTCACTATAAATACAGCGGGACCCTGTATGCAAACGATAAGATACACTCTAGAGAGTGCTATGCAAAATGAAATACTGAGGTACAGGTACACTGATGTAATTACCTTGAAGTTAGTCTAAAAATAGATGATGCATGAACAGGTGGCAAATAGTGATAAAGCAAATATAGAAAAATATGGATTCTAGAATCTAGGTGGAGGTACAGGATGCTCATGACAATTCTCTCAATTTTCTATGTTTCAAATTTCTCATTAAAAAGTTGGAGAAATGGTCAATGCAGACATAAGAGGACACCATTTTCTTTTAAACTCATAAAAAGTTTTATATGACTACCTAAAAATAAAGTCAAATAATAATTCTTACCTACATACTTAAAGTCTTCGTTTTAAATGGATAGTTTTTAAAAAGGAAAGATTCAGTACATGTGGTTAAGAGTTATAGTCATAAAAAAAAATACTAGACATTAATTTTTCTCCTCTAGCTATCTATCTATTTGATTTCCTTAACTAGAAGAGAGAAAATCATGACTATGATACTCATGAATTATTCAAAATACTTACTTCAATTCTGTGAAAAACAAATTAATATGGTTTACAGAATCTATCTGTTTTATGAAGGACTCCACATTTTCAAGAAACACCTACCCAAAAAAAAAGGACAAAACATTTTAGTTCAGATCACATCAGTTCAAGTCTAAAGTAAGCTAGGGTAAACAGCAGCGTGAGAAAGTTACCTTAGGGTTATGATCATAAATCAGATTGAGATTAATTCTCAGTTTTCTCATGCATTCAAATGCTTCTTTAAACATAAGCCTGTGAAGAGAATGGATAAAGAAGGCATTTCACAAAAACTAAGCTCCCCGGACCCAGCACGTTTTCATTATGATACAAACCAGTTCTAATGAGATTACATCCCAAGTGCCAAACAACTGCTAATGGATTTTCACTCTGAAATCACAGAATAAAAAAATCGGCTACCAAATTCATTTACCTTCTGAAAAGGAATGATTTAAACATCATGGCAGGATGAGGACTACATCCTCACAGACACACTCATCATGGAACTTAGGTCTTTCTTAACAAAATAATGCAAAGCTTCTCCTGTACCGAGTCAGACAATGGATCATTTCCCTCCTAACAGTGGCTCAGGCACTTTGGGTCATGGGCCCCCTGTGAACCAGAAAGCCTTGGGCCTCCTGCCTAGAAAGACATGCAGAGTCAGTTGGTGCAGTGTCCCAGGTTTACAGACCATCTGAAGCCACAAGGGTCCCCTTAGGCTAGGAAGCCCTGACTTACACGATGAGCTTCATGATTCCTTCTGCTGGAAATGTCACTATACCATATGGCATTAAAATCAGTGTAGACCATGTCACCACAATCAATTTAATAAATATTAAAAAGAAAAATCAAAGTGTAAAAAAAAAGCCTCTGAGAATCTGATTGATGACATCTGTAATGAAGGTTTTCCACTTTTAGGTTTTAAACCTTAAAAGGATACTTATGATCTTCACACATAAGTAATAACAAGCTAACTAGTCCTGTACGTGGTACTTACTTGTCCAACCACTTCCGAATCTGAGCTAAAACCAGGGCTCGATGATGAACAACTTCTAAGTTTCCCCTTGGCATCTTAAAATATATAAATCAAAATAATAATGTTTTAAATTAAATAGAAAACATTTAAATACCCAGGCTACACAACTTTACCTAACTTCACAGTGAACTACCATAGGAGGTAAAATGAGCACACTTTTAGCAGAATCTAGTTGTGCTCAATATTTATACTGACTTTCCAGAAAAGCTTCCCTTTTAGCCTTACTGGGCAGAGCCTGTATGAACACTCCTTTGTAATAAAGCTAACAGAACCTGGCAAGGAAAGACTTAAATACATTACTGCAAATGAAAAGAGAGCCTAAAATACAATCTGCAAGAACTGTTCGGTATTGACTGTCCAATGGCAATCAGAAACAGCCTGGAAAATCAGCTTACCTGCAGTATCAGCTTTGTGTCCTGGGGCACAACAGTGACAATGCGTGAACCCCGCTCCACCATCCGCAGCGTTTCCCCGTTAGACGCGTGACTGCTGCTCAGACCTGCCTGTAATGCTAGAGACAACATGGGCCTTAATCACTCTCCATGCAGGCACTCTCCATTACCTGCAGCTGAAACCACATGTTATCTGAAATACAGGAGAGCAGTTACTAACCAGGCTCCTTTGCTCTCCCACTCAACCTCAAGACCATCAGCCTTTCTGATAAAGTCTCACCCCTCGAACTTGCCCTCTCTCAGAGCCTTCATGCATATTCTCACACACAACTCATCAACTGACTTGGAAGGCACAGGGACAATGGGCAGCTTCTCTCTTTCTTAGCACTATAATCATACCAGGGAATGATTCCATTTCCAAGTGGGGATTTTCAGAATAAGGAAAATACACACACACAGGGGGGTGGGGTTGAAGGTGAGCGGATGCGTGGGCATGGAATAGAAGAAAAAACAGAGCCAATTTCCTACAAACCCCAGACGAAGTACTTCAGAGGGTACAGCGGAGGGTGGCACAGTGGGAAAAGATTACAAAAGAAGTCACCGCATATTGTTGTTTGGTATTTACTGGTAACTCACAGTAAAATATTAGTTATATAATGAAATTCCCTGAACAATTTTTGTTTAACTTTAGAATATTCTGCTTAAGGAAGGACTTCCTTTTCAGGAAGTCTTTGCTAACTGGTGCAGGATGACTGAACTGCGATGCTGTGCTGAGATTAGGGACGAAGGAACTAAACTCTAATGGTATTCTCCTGTCCAGGACTCCACAGTCAAAAGCCAAAGTAGGTGAAGAACTTGGAAGTCATCAAGACCTCAAAGGACAAAAGATAGCAGAAGAGGGACCATTTTCTATTTTATACAGAGAACTTACTTTTTAATGAAGCATCACTCAGACAAAAACACTGGCAGGTGTGAGAATGAGTTGTTAACAACAAAAACTCATCATATACTGCAAATGATGTGATATTGGAAGCAACCTACAAGGTAAGGGAGACAAGGGAAAATTTAGCTTTATTACTTGGAGACAATACTGAAGAAGATCCGTCACCAAACCACGCCTTTATACCTCATTGTCATTGATGAAAAAGCGACACCTGTTAGTCAGACCAAGGACATACTCCTGCAAAGAAATAAAACTGAAATTATAAACAATGCTAACCAAACTAGTTTAACCTAACCTTTCAATCACACAGTTCTACTGACCTGTGATTTCACACCTAAGTCTCTGTAATCAGGACTGAATAGATATGTTAGATGTGGTTGGTCCAGAAGCCATCCAATCCATCTGCAGGCCCTGTCATTTCTATCTCCTACCTGCATCTCAAATATTCCACCTTTCTGCCCTCACTGCCTCCACTCCAACAATCACTTCCACACTCGTCCTTTCCAACCTACTCCTCACCCGGCAGCCAGAAAACATTCCAAACCATAAAGCAAATCACATTATTCTGCTGATTTAAAATTACTAATAATCTTCCTGCCTTTGTTAAGTAAATAAAGAATCCACACTCCTTCCTATGGCCTTTCACTGAGTCCCAGCCACACTGCTTCCATTCAGTTCCTTGAATAAGCTGAGCTCTTTCCAAGCTCAAGATGTGTAGTTCCTTGTCCCTGGAACACTCTCCCTTCCTCGGGGAGCCTTCTCTTCCTTCACAGCTCAGTACACACACACCACACCATAGAGCTTTCCACCAAAGTAGGTCCCCCTTCCTCACAACTACCATCCTCCACTTGGTCCCCAGCACCTCACCATTCTCTGTCATTACACCCTGCTTGTTTCCTTCATTCTCCCGTTGGAGGGGCTAATCATATAATCTGTTGATAGAGTATAAAGTCCCAAGAACAAGGGATTGAATAGCTGTTTTGCTTTATAACAACTGTATCCTACCACCCACCACAATTATAGGCATTTTAATATTAGATGAATGACAACTACTGAACACTACTTTCAAGATTACATTTCTGTTGTTCCCAAAAGGTATTTAATAAAACTAACTGTGTCTGTTCTGTACAACTGGGGATGAAAGTTTGCTAACTGCATTCTATTTTTAAATTTATAACTCCAAGGAAGGGATTAACTAAAGCCTGCTTGCCAGGCAACCTCTTAATTCCATCTCACAGAGGAAGCTGGGGCTCAGGGAACTGGACCTTCTCAATATTGCCTTACGATTTAGTGGATCCAGGCTCACCTCTTTGTACCTAATGCTATCAGATCTTGGGTCCTACTTTTAAGTGGTAAATTTTTCTGCCTTGTGATCACTTACCTTCCCTCCAATCACGGCCAATTCAGTCTGTGCGCATTCATAAGGAATTTGAACAGGAAATCCACCTGGGTTCTTCCAGGGTTCAACAACTGGAGAAGGTGATTCTGCAGGATTAGCAGAGGAGGTTTACCAAGAGCTGATCTGCTCTTTGTAAAAAAACTGTCCCATTAATACTTACTAAAACACTTAACATGCAATTTGGATTACTTTCCAAATGTATTCTGCAAACTCATTAGGGTATTCCAATTCATTACAAGAAAACAGGTAGTAAACACCTGCCGCCCTGGCCGGTGTGGCTCAGTTGGTTGGAGCATCATCCCATGCACTGAAAGATTGCTGGTTCAATTCCCCATTAGGGCACATGCCCAGGTTATAGGCTTGATCCCTGGTAGGGGGGGTGAAGGAAGCAACTGATCAATGTTTTGCTCTCACATGATGTTTCTCTCTCTCCCTCTCCCTTCCTCTCTGTCTATAAATCAATAAAAAACCTTTTAAAAAAAGAAAACACCTGCAAATCCTTGCTATAGCTTAGGGTTTTCCAGAGTAGTTAAAAGACCTAACAGTCAATGTGGCACAGACAAGATACAAGTCATGTTTTTAACAATGAAACATCATAGAAGTCATAAACATGCTTTCCTAACTGTGATACTCACCCCAAAGGTACTTCAATATCTGGCCACCAGCTAGCTGCAATGCTACTGTCTTGGTCTTGGAATTGCAACATAGGCTGATTATGACCCCATCCACTGTCACAGATGAACTGACAAAAGTAAAAAAAGGGAGGAAGGGGATGTGAATAGATCTAGTTTTTCTCAAAAGTAGTGACATTTCACAGATTTTGCAAAACAGAAAAAGAAACAAGCAATTTCCTTTCGGTGCTACTCTGCTTATTTCAATACAATATACACAACACACATACACACGATAAACTATTGCAATCACAAGCCCAGATTAAGTGATTACCTGTCACATCACACTATTTTCCACAATACAAATAAGCTGGAGTCTACATTGTGAAGTCATCATTCCTATTCTGGCAGCAACTCATTATAACTTATTGCAACTTATCACCTTCATTAGACATACTTGGTATCAATAATATTTTTGTCTTCTTAAAATATAAACTACATAATGAAGCAGTGAGTCAGTAGGAACACAGAACACTCTCTATCACTATCATATTCGTTCATGGAAATCTGTGGGTCTTCATTCATGGAGAGAGGGGAAATGTGCTGTTGCCATTGTATTTTTTCCTGAGTCAATGAACATATACATCTTAAAGAGACTAGACATGTCTTAAAGGAAGTGAAAGAGATAGTGATTAAAAAAATGATTCCAATACTAACATTTAGTCTAAGATTTTTTAACCAATCTATGAAATACCAAAATGTCCCAAGTTCTGTGAGGATAAATGATCTGTAAGTTAAGAGAACAGACTCTGGAGCTAGTCTTGCTGGGACTGGGATCTTGTGCCTTGCCTGTCGCAGCTGCAAAACGCTAACAGTAATACTCCAAAGAGGTCCTGTGAGACATCCGTAATATTGGTAAGCACTAAGAAGAGTACCTTTTACAAAGACGAACTGTAGTATGTAAGCTAGTAAGAGCTGCAAGCTAATCAAGGGACTTTATATTTCTCAAAAACACTGATATTTTATATGAACAGTCTTTTTTTGAGAAACAAAGGTCAAAGCAACAGAAATATTTTTTAAATGACTTTCTCATTCCCTTTTCAGTAAATGAAATGACTGCCTCTAGCTTTTTTTTCTATAAATAATTTTAAATTTTATGTCTCATCACTATGTTGTACACCAGAAATATAGTTTAAGTGTAATTAAAAATAAAAAAAATTTCTTAAAAAAAGAATTTTAAACTTTGAAAAGTAGAAATTTCATAATTTAGACATGTCTAATGAAAACTGCTTTGCTTTTCAAAAGTAAATTCCTGGTTATCTTGAAGTGCTACATGTAGCTACAACATTTTCTGCATCGAGACATATTCACAAAAAGCTTTTAAAAATATAAAGAGTTATGAATCAAAGATTAGGAGTTAATGACTGCATCAGAATGTTTGATGTATATAATGAGGAAAGGTTCCTAATTTTGCAATAAGGGTTTTCAGAGTTTAAATCTAAGCAGATCTTTCATCACAAATGAAGCTAGAGAATAATATCAGTGTATGCCCAAGGTGCCAAGTGTGACACTGGAAACCTGAGGATTTTCCAGAGCTGCCCAGACAATGCTATCTATCTACTGCACAACACAGAAAACTGCATTCATGAACCAGAACTGGTTACATGACAAAGACGCAGTCAGGGATCAAAATGAAACTCAAGGCTAGGGGGCAGTGAAATTTAGCAAAGAAAAATAGAGGAATCCTATAAAATGCAATCTACCATGACAGAAAACAGATCTCTGGCTGATTGGGAATGGTAGCGGACACGGAGGGCTATGTCACAAGGAGGCATAAGGAAACGTTTATGGGGAAAGTATATGTTCTATTTCCTGAGTGTATGGCTTCATGGATGCATACAGATATCAAAAGTTATCAAATTGTACACACAAGTTTGTGTAATTTGTTGTGTGTTGATTATACCTCAGTGAAACTACAAAGTTAAAAAATAAAAACAAAAAGATGATTAAAAAAAGAAAAAGAAGAAAAATAGAGGAGACTTTTCAGTAGTAAATGCGTCATGTGCCAAACAGAATGTAAAGAGAGGCCAGACATCAAAACGTAGCACATATAAATAGATGTGATAACATAACTGGTTTTAATAACTAACAAGGGTAATCAGAGTGACTGATTCTCATGGGCTAGCAATTGCCTTGCTGGAAGGTAAGCATATGCTCAATTAAAAATTTTAACACACTGCAAAATGTTTTGCCTCATCTGTTGGTATTTGTCCTCTTTTTCACCACTTCTTGACATATTTTCAGCCTGTATTTTGACATGACTCAAAATTAGACTTAACCTCTTGACAAGTGTGTCTAACAAGGAAGCTACTGCCTCTTAACCTACCTCACTAGAAGCCGAAAAAAGTCCTACGCTCATAAAGACAAAACAGAAAAGCATAACTCTACCTATTACCACATGGAACACAGAAGGACTGTGATACCTAATAGTGAGCTGTCCTTGCTGGTCATCTGTCTCGGAAGAGGCCACGGTGAGATGGTGAATGACGGACTGTGGGCTGGACTGACTGTGGCGAACGGCCAGGAAGACGTCATCTTGGATCCAGGTGAGAAAGCTGAGCTTCAGTGGATTCACTTCTTGATCTTCACTATTCTCAAACTGAATTCTGTTTTAAATATTGAAGAATATCCAAGAATGAAACTTTAAAACCACTGAGATTTCCCTGAATGAAGGAAGAATGAACCACCCTGTATACAGACAACACCTGGTTATTTGTAGAGGCAAAACCTGAAATGATGTCAAATACTAAAAAAAACCCAAAATACTGTCTGTCTGGTTCTAAAATGTGGTTTCTGTTTATTTAATATTGTTTCTTATTCTCCGAGAGCTTTAGATTTATGAATCTGACCACACAAGAAAATTACCTGCCCTGGGTTGACCCTACACTAATAAACCCAGAGGTTTTCCACTGTCTCACTTACCAGCATTCAAACCAAACCGCAGCAGCTGGCTGGACTTCAATAGAATGGGTCCTTTCCCAAGCATCTCACACCAAAATGAATACATTAACTTGAGAGTCTCCCTGCCTCTAACATCTTCTGAGGCATTTATGCAGCAGATGACAGCATTTTTTGCTGCCTCATGCAGGACTCATAATGGCCACTTCTTGCCTTTGAGTTCGAGCAGCAAACCCTCGGCGTGCACTGAAGGAGCAGGTCTCTAGCCCAATCTTCCTCCTCAACCAGCTCCCAGGACTCAGCCTCTCCACTGCACGCAGCCCCATGCAGGAGCACCCCAACCTGGTTCTTGCTGACATTCCTCTGCCCGCCACACCCAACGTTCCCAATCCTCTGCCATCCTAACCTAGTCCTATTCTGCTTCAAGGATCGAGGTAAGTATTCGCGTCCCTCATGAAGACTTCTCTAAGTGAGACTATATTCTACATTGCCTTACACTTTCTTCCGCTAGTGGTTTCAAGTCTGTGAAATAAAATCATCCATATAAATGTTCTTTGAAAACTTCTAGGCATTATACATAGGCAGCCCCCAAACCATACACAGGTTAGATACATATATACATTTATGAAATATACTGCATATATTTAAGAAACGTTCAGTTATTTGCTCTAGTCAGTTTATTATTACTATTAATTTAGGAATAAATGCTCCCAGGAGACAGAACAGAGCAGGAATTAAGAGCAGAGACTCATCAAGAATAGACTCAAATCCTGGATTCTCACAGGAATGGCATTATAATTTATAAAGTGGCTTCTGGGTCATTTTATAATGCCTATAGTATATCTGAGATATTCAATTATACCCAGTCATTTCTAGTATTATTTCCATGAGAAAATGTATTCTGATTTCCAAACTGAAAGCCTCAAAACACAGCACCCAGAGGTTTTGGAGTGTAGGTGGAGGCAAAGACAGAGGCTGCTGTAGGTCAGCCATATGTTAATAACCTAGACATCCTCATTGAGGTACGTGAATGCAATCTGCCCTGTCAATTCATCTCCATCTTCCCCATGCAATGTCTCCCTGGAGAACCAAGGACTGTTGAGAAGAATGGGTTTTAGGCTGGTTTATTACTTGGGCTCTCCTGCACCCATCATCCTACATGATTCAGAATCCAGGTAAGTGGCTTCCCCAAGGGGGCTGAAAAACCAGCACCCAGGTGTGGTATCTACTTGTTCCACTCAGCAACAAGCACAGGATAACAACTGGTTATTTAGGAGTAAATGCTGGCTCCTTCTGTTCCCAGACGTTCCGATAACTAAGAACCACCTACTTGTATCTCTTTTCCAGATGAGGTGTCTCAAAGGAAACTTTAAATCCACTTCCACCCACAGCTCCCAGTTTCACCGTGGGATCCACACTTGAACTATCACCTAGAAAACAAAATTGCAAGTCCAATTATATCAAACTACGAACACTTCTCCTCATACTAAGTTTATGGGGTTCTGGAAGTCAAACTACTTTACAAACAAAGCAATCTAGAAAACAGTCACATTTCAATCTCTTTTAAAAATCTCTGCCTACCTTTCAGGCTTAACCAAATCTTTTTTCCCCTTCATACTACCCCAGTCACAATCCTCGCTGTACCTCAGCAAGACCAGGGAGGGCTGCCTTCTCACCCCAGTGCTACTTCCTCCACTGCCCCACCACCACCTCTCACCAACCTGGCATCCTTCATCAAAAGATATTCTCTTTCCATTCTTGATCCAGTTTATTCACTGCACAGCAGCCAATACAACCCTTTAAAAAACTGAATCAGAACACCACCCTCTTCTGCTCTACACCCTCCGGAGGCTTCCTGTCTCACACAGAATAAACACTGAGGTCTTGCCAGAGCCTTTGAGGCCAACAAGAGCTCTTTCCTGTCACCTCTCTGACGCCACCCACCACCCACCCCTTACCCCCTCTGCTGCAGCCTCCCTGAACTCCTGCCTATTTCCTACACAGACAAGCACCTTCGCCATTGCTCTCTACTCTGCCTAGAATGCTCTTACCCCAGGATTCACATGGCTCCCTCTCCAATTGCCACTGGGTCTCTGCTTGAATGTCACCTTCACATAGAGGCTTCCTGACCACCTCATGCTCTCCCATACCTTGACCTTGCTTATTTTTCTCCACAGCATTTACCATCTCACAGACTTCAACTTTTATTGACTATATTTCTCCCCAACTAGAAGATAAATTCCACAACCATATGGACTAGAATAAAACGTGTCATATAAGAGACAATCAATAAACATGGAGCAATACTCGGGACACAGCAAATGTCTCCTATGCAAGTTCTGGCATCTAATTTGTCTCCACTGGACGCAAAGGTGCACTACTCGCCTCCAAGTTGTTCATGTGTATCACAAGCTCTTTCTCTTCGGCTCAGTAGCCCTTATCAGTATTCTGACTTGTCCACTCTGAGACCTCAAACTGGAATATCCTGACTTTAACAACAATTTCCAATCTTTCCTCTTCTCTTTCCTTTTAATCCCAATAAAATGCATTATTCCTCAACGTTCACTGTCACCTGCACAACAGCTGACGTTCGCTGCTCTACACAGCAATCCTGACTCTCCCCACCGCCGTGCTCCCTGCGCAGGTGAGCTGTCCACACCAGGGCCATCGTCTGAAATTGCTCCATGTTTAAAAAGCCTAATCTCCCAGGGGATTGTCAAGGGCGGGGGAAAAAGGAGACATATGTAATACTCTTTGTAATACTTTAAGCAATAAAACAATTAAAAAATAAAAAAGCCTAATCTCTACATCCTACATTTTAGTAACAACTCCCACAACCTTTTCCTAGACTCTTTTATACCCGAATACACTACAACATGCTCCCCATTCTCAAAGGCTTCCAGCTCCCTGCTTTGTATTTTTCTACAGACATTTCCTTGGCTCAAACTCTCACCATCTCCTGCCTAGTCACTCTGAGCAGTCCCACTGGTATGTCTGCCTCCCCGTGCCCACACCATGGCCTGCCCGCACACAGCCACCTGACATACCGCCCGAGAGCGGATGTCTAACCTGCCCTATCTGATCATGAATGTAGGGTGCTACAGAGTTTCATTCTGGGGAGATAGAGGTGTTCTAAAATTGACTGTGTTGATGGTTGCAAAACTGCAAATATACTAAAAACCATAGAGTTGTACACCCTAAATGGATGAGTGGTATGAATAAAGTTATTTTTTAAGTGAATGTAGGATAAAATATTCTGTACATAGTGAAACAATAAACAATTATACAATCTTAAATTAGTATCATCTAGTAAGCACCACAAAAGCTTACTCTACATCTGATTCTTTTAAGCTAAGAAAACCAGCAGTAACAGTAGTCAAGTATAAAGACAATCACTTATTTACTTTTGATATTACAGGTTGATAATAAAGCCTACTTTGAAAAGAAGTTAATTTCTGCTTTTTCTGATTTTCCTTAACAATGAACACATTACTTTTTTAAAAGTTATTAAGAAATAAAAAGTTTAAGGAGAACTGTTATAGCATTTTACAGAGTAAAACTAAAATTAGAGTAGCTGCAGACATATCCAAGTACAGTAAGTCCTTACTTAATACTGTCAATGGGTTCTGTGACTTTAAACAAAATGATATGTAACAAAATCTATTTTATCATAAGGTAACTGGTATAAACAAGAGTTCCTACACAGCATCTCATCAACATTCCAACAAAATGACACTGAACAAAAGGAGGGCCCACTGTATTGTTAGTATAAACAGGAGCCTGCTGATTCAACAGAAACACTGATTAGCAGGGAATTCCAATATAAATTAATTTTGATTATTCTATCCTAGCAGCTATCTAGATTGTTCTCTGAGAATGCATAAGTTATTTGAAAACAAGGCCACCAGTGCCATTTGCCTGTATAATTCATGACATGAACATAGAACTCACAACTAAAAACAAGTGTCGGGTTTCCCCAGCCCATCAGGAAAGCAACTAGGACTGAGAGCAATGGGGCTGTGGAAAACAACTGGATTAGAAGCTATGACACCTCAGTCGGACTCCCTGTCCATGCTTGCTGAAGCAAATTGCAAACCCGCTGGCATTCTATCCTTCATTATAAAAAAGAAAAAATCCAGCCAACCAGTATGGCTCAGTGGTGGAATGACGTTGACCCATGAACCAAGAGGTCACTGGTTACATTCCCGGTCATGGCACATGCCCAGGTTGCAGGATCAATCCCCAGTAGGGGGCATGCAGGAGGCAGCCAATGATGTATTTCTCTCTCATCAATGTTTCTATATCTCTATCCTTCACCCTTCCTCTCTCTCTAAAATCAACAAAAACGTTAAAAAATACAACAAAAAAGTCCATCTGTGACACAGCTCCTAGGAGTGCTGTGAAATCAACTGAAAATATGTGCAAAGGCAATGAAAACTGTAAAACACGTTACAGGTGTAATAAGATACCATCCTATTTCCAGGGTTGAATGTTATTCTTTAAATAACTGACTCTTCAAGTTCAACAAAGCAAAGGAATAGCTCTTATAAGCCATAGTAAGACTGAAATTCCCTCAAAAAGACCCCCCCCACAAGCCAATGAAATATCATGATGATAAAGATATTAATTATAAACTTCAAAATTTTTAGAAACACTAAAGCGAAGGCAACATCAAACTATAACTTGCTTTTTAGAGGGGAAACCTGACTCACAACATCTTGTAACAGTTCTGAACATACCATATTTATAGACAGAAATATGGTTGCTGGCATCGAGGATAGCGAGGTCGTTACTCCTTTCAGGGCACGCAGAGAACATGACTTGATTCACAGGCTCTGGGAGCAGCATTCGATGGGTGTACATGGGAGGTGGGACGACACTCTGCCGGAAGACTGTCACCAATACCCTGTCTGCATGTGACAGGAGGAGGAGGATCAGACACATGGATGTTCAATTGTGAAATACGGCATCAGAACAGCACAGTACCACTAACTAATGATGGTGCTAGGAGATATACAGCAATTCTTTAAAATAATTTTTGGTGTTTTTATCATCAGTAAACATCGTGTAGGGGGAGGAAATATCATGGACTATGTCTATCAGGCTATTGTCCCCTCCAGACCTGGAGAAGTCCGTCTCTGGTCTTGGAGGTTTTAGGAGCCAGGAGCTAGAACAAGGGCAAGAGATCAGAGTTCTAGCTTTGGCTGCAACCAAGCCAGGCTAACGCAAGGAAATCAATGCCTTTAACATCCTTGAAGCACTTCCCTCGGCATGGATGTGGTGATAGGCACATATGATTAAGTCCTCTACCCAGATCATATGATTATTAAATCAGTATTATGACCACTACACAGAACATGAATCAGTACAGCAACTCACATTACAATCTTAGAAGCAAGGGTCAATGAAAATCTGAGTCAGGGCAAAAGACAAGGCAAACACATTTAAAACCCTAACACGACTGTCTCCTCTGCCCAGGGTCAGAATTTTCAATGTCTTCAAAGGCCGGACCAGTAAATATGTGAAGACCATGATGCAGCACAATGAGGAATTGGGGTGGGAGGTGGATGTGGGGAGGAAGGACTATGGTCCTCAGGAAAGTCCATGCCCCAGCTATGGGCATTCTCATCTAAACAAAACAACAAATAAGTAAAGATAAACCAACCAACCAACCAAATAAATATTCCCCATTGTTTTAGCCAAACCACCACATCTGCAGGCACTGGCTCAGGGGCCCCTTCCAGGCTCACAGACACCTTTTCTAGCTGCTTACTTCCATCGATGACAGCCACGTTTGCCATGTCACTTGAATAATCCCCCGAGCTCCGGTCAGTCGTCCAGCACCAGTCATAGCAGAGGTAGTGCCAGCCCTGACAGAGAACATGCAGCCGGTACAGGGTCACCGGGTCCCACATCAGAGACACAATCTTGCTCTTCCCACAGGCGCTGAAGATCAGACTTTGCTTGAGATACCAGTGGTAGTTCCCCACAGTCCAGAGCTGAACTGCAAGGGAAAATGAAAGGAGGCCTCAGAGGCTGGAGGACAAGACCTCATACCATTTGCTAGAGGAGGATGGGACAAACTTTTCTTTTTCAAATGATCCTTCCTGCTCAGCCTCTCCATTAAAATAATATTAACAATAATTGGCAAAAGGCAATTTTCCATGAAGACAAAATGTCAAGCTCAATAAAGTCAGAAACACATGTTTATTTTTGCCTCTACCTTCAAACTTTTCAATCGTGAGGATGGAAGGCTAAGAAAGACAGTGTTTTAGTCAGTTGTTTTTTTCATAAAGAATTAGAAAGAAGATTAAAAGTATTAAAACACTCAATCCCGAAGTTCTGGACTAGCACCACTATGTTCTATTAAGCTTAAGTTGCTTATTACTTTCTCACAAGTGCTTTGCATGCAACTGGGTGCAAGGCTCTCTGGTATTAACTAGGATTCAGCTGTCTGAGGGAGATTAGCAAGCAATTATCTTTTCCAACATCTATTAAAAGCAGAGATCTAATCCTGGAGGGTGGGGAAAATGGGGAGATGTTGGTAAAAGGGTACAAACTTTCAGTTACAAGATAAGTAAGTTCCAGGGACCTAATGTACAGCATGGTGACTACAGCTAACAATATAGTAACGTATACTTGAAAGTTGCTAAGAGAGTTGATCTTAAATGTTCTCACAATAACAACAATAAAAATGGTAATTACATGAGGTGAATCTCATTGTGGTAAACTTTTCACAATATATATATGTATCAAATCATACATTGTACATTTTAAACTTACAGTTATATACCAATTATATCTCAATAAAGCTAAAAAAAAAAGATCTAATCATGTCGTCAAAACCAACTTTTATTAAATCGATGACACAAATAAATGAAGGTCTTGATTATATTAAGAAATTTATTTCCTTTATCTCCCAGCTCACTAATTCTTAATTCAGCGATTACAGCAAATCTAACCTAGTTCTCTCACCTGGCTATCGCAATACATTTCCCTAGCAGTGAGTTGGTAAGCTAAACTTTCTGCTCATGCTGTGATAACAGGAATCATGGCTGTTCTTATGTAACACATATCCTGAGCATATCACAGTGCCTTGCCTGCCCTTGACACCCTGTGGTTCTCAACCCTGGCTGCATGTTAAAAGTTATCTGGAAGCATTTTGCTTTTAAATTAAATATGGATAGTCTTCATTCCGATACAATGAATCCAATAAGATGAGGCCTGGAAAGTGTTTTGTTTTGTTTTCTAAAGGTGCAGCCAGGGTTGCCCAGCCGGGTGTGGCTCAGTGGTTGAGCTCAACCTATGAACCAGGAGAACATGGTTCAATTCCCAGTCAGGGAACATGTCCGGATTGCAGGCTCGATCCCCAGTAGGGTGCATGCAGGAGGCAGCCAATCAATGATTCTTTCATTGATGCTTCTATCTCTCCCTCTCCCTTTCTCTCTGAAATCAATAAAAATATATTTAAAAAATAAAAATTAAAAAAAAAGGTGCAGCCAGTGTTGAAAACCACTGCGTCAAATGAATGAATGAGTGAATGAAAAAATATTCAGTGCATTATTATTGATAATGAAAAAGTGCAAAACTTTAAAAGTCTAACAAAATGGGATTTAATAAACTGCAGCACAAATGAATATTATCCAGTAATTTAAAATAATATAGATGGCTATCTAAAGTGGAAATACGTATGTGGCAGTAGAAAAGTAAGTTACAAAACTGATGCATCATACCTATCTATATACACAACAAAAATGAGATCATGGCTATACTGAAACATATCCATAAAATCTGGAAGATGAGAAAATTTCAATAGTGATTATTAAAGAGACAGAATTATGGATTAACTATTTTCCTTCTCATCTTTATTGTGTAATGTTTTCACGTATTACATATACACTAAAAAATACCTATTTACACAACTTAAAAGGAATAGAGACAATTCTTATATCTAATCCAATTTCCCTTTCACTTTCACAGTGTAGTATTCCTTTGGTCAGCGTTGTGACTTCCTGTAGCAAAACCATCTAAGAAATTACTGGTGACCTGTAATGGTCAATTTTATATGTCAACTTGGCTAGGCTATGGTGCCAGGCTGAACACTAGTCTAGATATTGCTGGGAAGGTAGCAAGGTATTCTGTAGATGTGGTTAACATACACAATCAGGTGACTTTTTATCTTTCAATTTTCTAAAGAAATTATTTATTAATTACTGAGTAACATTGGTTAGTAATCCTATCTAATAAAAGAGAAACATGGTAATTGGCGTACGACCGCTACCCTTCCCATTGGCTAATCAGGGGCGATATGCAAATTAACTGGCAGCCAGGCAGCTTGAAACTAACATGAGGCTTGCTTGCTTCAGTGATGGAGGACTCCAACGTTCCCCGCCTCCG